GGATGGCCACGCAGGAAGGCCTGTCTCTCTCCTGTTTCCCCCCTCTTATCTGTGAAAATCTCCACACGGCAAGGGCCACAGGGTGTGAAGGAGGATACCTCGGTGTTGTAACCAAACACCTGCCGTTGATAATCGTTGGAAAGGCTTTGTAACTCAATCTGGCGAATTCCCCTACTCATTCATTCACCTGGAGGGTTGGCTTTCCGGTGGAGGATTAGCTTTCCGGGGAAATTGTTGATACATGTAACTTCAGAATCCACTGAAACATTGTTGCCCTCTTCGTAGACTTAGAAGTTGACTTTGGAAAGTGCAACTCTTAAGCGGTCCAATTTGGGTGTGTGGCTTTGGACTCTATCTCCCCTCCCAGGCAGGTCCTCTTGTGGCCTCTCCCTTCCTTTGCCCCAGAACTGGAGATGTTTTATCTCTAATTACTAACAAATGTTCGCTTTTTCCTCTGTGACTAATAGAATTGTTTAAGGGCATTAAAAAGCAAAGTTGACAGCTTAGGCTTTTCTGTAAAACAACTTTCCTAGAACACTTTAAACCCTCTTATGGGAAAGTCTGTGGAATGTGTTTATTTCAGCATTTTGAGAATTGTACTAGGGAAGTTGGAAAGGAGAAGGGCCTTAAGGGCGAAATCTAATAATTATTCAAACATTGCATCTCATGTCCAGGTGATGCCCGTGCAGTGTGACCCTTGCCCAGCCTTGCAGTCCCCGTGTGGTTAGGCTTCCCATTTGCAAAATATGTATGAGATGCACTGCAGCAGCCTTGAGACATCTGCTGAATGAAACTAGAAAAGTTTGCTTATGGCAATGAAAGTGGAAGAGTCGCATGAACACTCTGTTAAATCTTTATTTTTGTGGAAATGAGAAAAAAGTTAGAAGCATGCTCCAAACAAGAACTTGAGAGGCTTGGGAGGTAAAAAGATGTCGTTTGTGAACCATTGGGATTAAAGAGGCACTCAAGTTTAGCTCCTACTTCCAAGTAAGAGTTGTAAACTTGGATTTCAATAGCACTTAGAAACACTTTCCAGAAGCCATCTTAGAGTTGCAGAGTATGCGTGAGGACACTTAGCCTTCTTGTTACAGAAAAGTTCAGAAACTTGCCTGACATGAGGCGGTGAGTGTCAGAACCAGTATTAAAATCCAGCAAGTAAAAGTTCGGATGGCTAGCCGTCAAATCTCTGTTGCTCTCCAAGGTAGCAGGTTGGACAAATAACATTTCTCAAATGTGTCTTGTGGAACCCATCGCTAATTCTGAGCACTTGGACAAGGGAATTTACTAAGGCATGGAATTGTATTAATCGTGAAATGAGTATGAAGAATAGCCTTATTGATCTTGGAACTAGACTACTCTGTGATGAAAACTTAGGCTTGGGAAATATGTTAGTTTGTGGTGAAACTGAAACAGAATATGAAGAGAGAAGTTATGAAAAGTAGTTGTGATTTATAGTGACTGTTGATTATGCACCTTCTGCCTGTGGCTCAGAATGGGGATGGACAGGAAATTACCCACTTAAGTGCTTCTCTAGTTGTTGGAGAAGATGGAGCTTTGGCTACTACTGGCTGGCTATTCCCTCCTGGCAGGGCATTCAAGGTGTTCTCCTGGCTGTGGTGAAATCTAAGTGTGCAGGTTCCATTGAATTGGACAGTCTTGGAGGTAGGGGCAAGGGGGAGGGGTTCCCTTTGTTTTCTCTTGCTTATCTCTGATGCAACAAGTCAGTTGACTAGGTGGAATCAGATCTAGGTTCAAATTCCAGCTCTTTTTAATGCTAATTATGAAACTTCACACAGACTGCTTTTTCAACCTCAGTTTCCCTGAGGTAAAATGGGGAGGAATGTGTCCAGGTTGTAGGGTTATTATGAGCAATGAACACAGTATCAATATAAATGCTAGGTCCATGTTAAAAACTCAGTAATTGTTAGTTTTTTTTCTTTTTTTCCACCTTCTGTATCAAAAGACTAAGAACATTACTGTATATTAGAAATGTCAGAGAAAGGTATGTTTAAGGTAATGGAGAAGAAAATTTTAATGACCAAGGAATTAGGCTGTTAACATGCAGAGTAGGGCTTAACATTGTCTCATTATTAAAAAATAAAAGTCGATTAAAAACAATATTGTGTGTAATTGTGAAGCTGGTGTCTGTTGTGTGATCAGTGGTAAAGCACGTGAGTTGCTAGGCACAGGTGTTGAGATTTAGTGTTTGATCAGACTTCTCTTTCAAGTTTAAGCCTGGTTGAACACAATCTCTGTCAGGTACCATGGAAATTCTTAATGTGAACCATTTCATGAAACCCTCACTACTGTCCAGTGGTGACGATGCTGTTTATTAACCACATTTTTCAAATGAGAGAATGAGCGTTTATAGGCCTAAGATCAGATGCCATCCCCTGGAAGCCTGCCTTGATGCCAGTTTCCTGTTGCCACCCCCACCCACTCCTGTTCCAGTCTAGGCCAGGTGCCCTTCATCCGTGTTGCTATGGCCCCTTGTGTTTATGGCAGACGCGGTACTGAATCTCGTTTCTTGTCTGTCTCCTGTACCATGCTGGACATAAACTTCTTGAGAACAAGGACTGTCTTATTTATCTTTGAGTTCCCTGTGTCAGACTCAATGCCTGGCACGTGGTTGTTTGAGAAGAGTTCATGGAATGCATTTAAGAAATGCATTAGGATCTACATTAAGATTCTAATTAAGACTCTGAGTTCTCTGAGTTGAGTGTACATCAAGTTAAAGAAAATTTAAACCCTTGAGGAAGAAAAGTTTTATATTTTATAAATTTTTAAGGCAAATTATACTGGTTTAGGCAGGCATTTCCTTTTACTATTTAGTTTTTTTTTTTTTTTTTTTTTGAGACGGAGTTTCACTTTTGTTGCCCAGGCTGGATGGAGTGCAATGGCACGATCTCAGCTCACTGCAACCTCCACTCCCCGATTCAAGCCATTCTCCTGCCTCAGCTTCCCTAGTAGTTGGGATTACAGACGTGAGACATCATGCCTAGCTAATTTTCTATTTTTAGTAGAGATGGGGTTTCTCCCATGTTGGTCAGGCTGGTATCCAACTCCCAGCCTCAGGTGATCTGCCCGTCTTGGTGTCCCAAAGTCCTGGGATTACAAGTGTGAGCCACCACGCCCAGCCTCATGTTTATTTTAATAAAGGAACATTGTCTTGCCTCAAATCAACATCTAATGGACAAAAAAAGAGGTCATCAGTATGCAGGTAGCACCCTGGAAACCTAAATCTTAAACCTGTGTAGGCATTTATCTAGAAGAATAAAAGGAGCAGTGGTAACTGGCAATTTTTGACAGGTATGTTTAAATCTTATTTAGTGTTTGAATGATCCCAGTGGACTGGAATGTGGTTAATATGAAGCAATTTAACTGATAATGCAGACACACAGCAGGAAACTATGCGGCAGTTTAATATTACTTGTGGTGACATCCTAGAAATTGCTTCCAGGCACCAAGTGCAGGAAGTGGGCTGTAAGTAGTCTAAGGAAGTTTTCTAAGTGAGTTTGAAGAAACCTGACATTTATGGACTCAGAGAAAAGCATACTCTAAGATTCGGAGGCATGGGAACAGGGCAGGGCAACTAATTTGGCCTTGTGGTGGTGATTATTCTATATTAGCCTGTATACCTGTCTTCTGTCCCTGTCAAACTGTGACCTCTGTGAGATTAGTGACCAAGAAATTTATCCATTTATTCATCCACTTACCTACTATAGAACTAAGACTATTAAGCACGTATTAAACAATAAATATTAGCCATTATTATCATAATTAGTGGCAGTACTGTGCCTGGCAGTGTGCTAAGTACTAGGGACACAAAGATGAACAAATATTTTTCTTTAAGGCTTTCTAAAGTAGTGGACACAAATGTAAAACAAAACCAATCCCTTCCAGACTCCCTCCCCACCAAAAAACAAAACAAAAAACAAAACAAAAACAACCCAAGTATAATACAGTGTAGTTAATTGCAATGGTGGAGATGCGATTGGTGATGAATAGGTGAGTAAGTGAAGGAAAGACTGTCTTCTGGGGAGGAGGGAGGGTCAGGAAAGGAAGGCTTCACCAAGGAGATCATGTTTCAGCTGAGAGATGGGTAGGGGTGGTTAGCAGAGGGAGTAGAGGCAGTAGGGATGGTGGGGGTATCAGCAGAGGGAGCAGTACGTATGAGGACATGGCATATTAGGGAAATAATATTACCATTTATTAGACACTTGAATGCCAGGAATTGTGTTAGACATTGGGAATTACGATGGTGAATAATAGATTCACTCCTAGTGGTGCATACAGTCTTGTGGACCTGACATTAAAAAGCCAGGTAAATTCACATAAAGCCATGTGGATGTTCTATAAAGAAAGCACACGAGATGCCTCTGAGGGAAAATGATGGGAGTGACTGTCCTATTTTAGAGAGAGTGGCAAGGGAAGGCTCAACGTGGAGATGACATTTGAGCTGAGACTTAAAGGATGAGGAGGTATTAGTCATCTAAAGAGACTAGGCAAGACGTTTTATTCCAGGCAAAGGATAGAGCATACACAAAGGCCTTGAGGCAAGAAAACCCTAGGCATATTTCAGGAACGGACAGAAGGCCAGTGGGTTTGAGTAGTGACTGGGGGCAGAAAGCCTTGTGGTGAGGTCAGAGGGAGAGAGACTGGGCAGGGCAGGACCTTGTAGGTTGTGGTAATCTGAAAACTGTTTAAGATATGAAATTTTAAAAAAGTATAAAAAAATAAAAAAAGTATAAAAGTATAAAAAAATAAAAAAAGTATAAAAAAATACTTTTTTTCAGACAGTTTCACTCTGTCGCCCAGCCGGAGTGCAGTGGTGCGATCTCGGCTCACTGCAACCTCCATCTCCCAGGTTCAGGTGATTCTCATGCCTCAGCCTCCTAAGTATCTGGGACTGCAGGTGCCTGCCACCATGCCTGACTAGTTTTTGTATTTTTAGTTTCACCACGTTGGCCAGGCTAGTCTCAAACTCCTGATGATCTGTCTGCCTTGGCCTCCCAAAATGCTGGGATTACAGGCATGAGCCACTTTGCCCGGCCCTAAAATTTACTTTTTAAAGTGGTTTTAAGGATATTCACAAGGGTGACTGATTACCACTAATTCCAGAACTTTTTCATCACCGCATAAAGAAACCCCATACCTGTTAGATACCGCTCATTCCCCCAAACCCTTCAGTCCTAGGCAATCACTAATCTACTTGCTATAGATTTGCCTATTATGGGCATTTCATATGTTAATAAATAGAATAATATGTAACCCTTCATGCATGGCTTCTTTCACTTAACATAATGATTTCAAGATTTATCCATGTTGGAGCATGTATGAGTGTTTCATTACTTTTTACTGCTGAATAATATTCCATTGTATGGACATACCACATTTTACTCATCCATTTGTCAGTTGTTAGGTATTTGGGTGGTTTCCCCTTTTCATCATTATGAATGATGTTGCTATGAACATTTTGTGTGGGCATACGTTTTTATTTCTCTCGGGTATATACTTAGGAGTGGAATTGCTGGATCGTATGGTAACTCTGTGTAACCTTTTGAGAAACTGTTAAAATTGTTTTCTAAAGCAGCTGTACCACTTTGTGTAAAGTGGTTTTTTATTGTGGTTTTGATTTGGCCCAAATGAGTTACATAGAAAAGATCAGAGTAGATGGAGATAGGTTTCTCAGAAGAGGTTGGAACTTGAACTGAAAGAAAGAGGAGATTTGGAGAATGGAGGGGGATTACCAAAGGAAGACGAGTGGAAGTTATATGACTTGAAAGTGAGGATAAACCCATCTCATTTCAAGAACAGAGGAGCAGTCTTGGCTTATGATAGCTCTGCTCCAGTTTGTTTTGACTGTTCTTTAAAGGATCCCCTTGCCAAAATGCACAAGAAGGTTGCTTTTTCTTGAGGCCTGTTATATAGCACAACCAACGTATCTCTCTGCTTTGTGATGAGACCAAGAATTGGAATGTGACTTCCTTTCCAGGCTGCCTTCCTCTAATGCCTCTTCCCCTCATCCCTTTCTCCGCCACAGTGCTATCCTCCCAGTCCCCAAAGGAGAATGTAGAAAGACTTGGAGTGGTGCAGTAACAGTCTCTTTGAAGACCAAGCTCTCCATCACTGGTGCTCAGAGCCAGCCACTTGAATTTTCATGACTTTTCTGGAAAATATGTTGGTGCTACTCCCTCACTCTTCTCTTAGCCATTGTAGTCAACTTAGAGGGGATTGTACAGCAGATAGGAAAGTTGAAACAGAAGGTAAGACCTGGAGTATTGCTCTAGGAAAGTATGTTTGCATTCAGTTATTCAATCTGTGTAAGTTCCTGGCTGGAGTTCAGGTTGCAGTTGCAAAGGTCCAGCCTTTTTCCTGGCCCTAGGGAGAACTAATCTCTGGGTTCGTAACATCCTTTTTGCTTAAAAGGGCTTTGTGGGGACATGGAAAGATAAACAAGGAAGAAAAATAAACAGAATGAAGTTGTTTTGTTCTCTACTTTGATTGGAATCCATACCCATTCTTTCCAAGTATTCAGGACTTGAAAAGTAGCCAAATAAAGTAAGAAAAGGTATGTTAAAATACATATATGTTCCTACAGAAAAGAGAGGTGACATTCTAAAAATTCATTTTTAAGTTGGTTATGGCATTTAGAAAGTGTTTCCCTCTTCGAGATACTGTTATGTACAAGTCAGTAACTGTTGAGGGCAAGGGCATTCCAGATATAGGGAACTGTGTATGCAAAAGTCATGGGGAGTTAAAAGATAAAGCTGAAATACAGGATATAAGGATAAAGATTATAGGAGAAGAAGTTGATGAAGTAGGCATGTGCCGGTGGGATATGATGTCATTGAAGGGCTGAACTGGGGATGTAATATGATCAGATTTGGGTTTTTAGGTAGATTACCCTGGCAGCAGAAGTTTAGAGCAGTGATATCTTGGGCTTGTACAAGATGACACATTGGAATGTGAGAATAATATGGTAGAAATTGTATTTATTTTTATATCAACCTTCAAAGTTTGTTTTTGTATTTTTTAATGTATGTATTAGTATAGTTAGGCATTATTATAATTTATGGATATTTATCAGATGTCTGCTCACTTTTTTACTGATAGGAAGAATGCATGGAATAAAATGGGAGGCCACTGGATTGTGGAACTGTGTAATAGTTTTTACTGCCGAAGAGCAAGGTCCAGAGCAAGGTTTTTTGGCAGTGTAAAGAAAAGGAATGATGGGCCGGGTGTGGTGGCTCATACCTGTAATGCCAGCACTTTGGGAGGCCACGGAAGGTCCAGGCCTGAGTCCACGGCTTGAGTCCAGGAATTTGAGACCAGCATGGGCAACATAATGAAACTCTGTCTCTACAAAAAAATACAACAATTAGCCAGGTGTGATGGCATGTATCTGTGGTCCCAGCTACTTGGGAGGCTGAGATGGGGAGGATCACTCGAGTTCCCACAGAGGTCAGGAGACAGAGGTTGCATTGAGCCAAGATCGCGCCACTGCATTCCAGCCTGGGTGACAGAGTGAGACCCTGTCTCAAAAAAAAAAAGGGATGGCTTTGAGAGATTTTAAGTAGAAATGACAACACTTGGTGACAAATTACATGTAAGAGGCAAAAGAAGAATCAAAGATGACTTGCCAAGGTTAGCAGAGTTATGTTACAAATGGAGTATTTGTAAGGTGAGGACTGGTTATATAATGTTTGCTTTTCTGAGGAAAAGTGAAAAGTTATAATTGGGATAAGGCATTTTAGTCTGCAGTGAGAAAGGAAGGAATCTTTGAGGGATCTATAGTGAATGTGTGTGCTTTATTAAATAAGTAAGACTTAAAGTGGGCTGGACTAAATTGCTGAAGGCAAATCTGTTCATGGTAGATTTAGAGATGGGGGGAGAAAAACCACCTTTCAAAAGTGAATTCAAATTCACTTTAGCCACAGGAAAGGTTTGAGGGTGTTGCATTGATCTCGCCTAGGCTGTATGAATAAATGGAAGGAAGGAAACCAATCTAGAGAAGATGCTGTGTGACTCCCTGCAGGCAGTTCTTGAACTCCAGGGTGTGAGAGGAGCCAGAGGTATGTGAGCATTGGAGTTTTGAGTCCCTAGAACTATATATTCTCTCTCTGAGTTCTAAATTTCTGAGCTTCAGGTTAAAAAAAAATTATGGAAGGAAGCTAATAAATTCACCTACAGGGTTGTTGTCATAATTGAAAGAGATCTTGTGCCTAGTTCGCAGTGGAGATATGACTGCTTAGTAAATGGCAACTATCATTAATATTGCTTGGAGAGTAGAAAATATGGTTGTCTGAACAACCTGGAGTTAAAAAACAAGTTAAAAGACAGCAAGTATGTTCCTTTTTATAGTATTACAGGTTTTTTTTGTTTTGTTTTTAAAAACCAAGGTTTTTGCTTCCTTTCAGTAAGAATGTTAGGATGACGTGTAGTGTATTTCACTGAATTTATTTGAAAGATTGAGATGCTGATATATACAAAGCACTATTGCTCTTGCTGGTTGGGAAGAAAGGAAGCCTATAGTCTACTAAGACAGATAAGATGAGCTTGCAAACAATTAGAATTATAACATTTAAGAACACTTACGCCCCCAGCCGGGTCCGGTGGCTCACGCCTGTAATCTCAGCACTTTGGAGGCTGAAGCAGTCAGATCATTTGAGGTCAGGAGTTCGAGATCAGTTGGGCCACCATGGCGAAACCCCATCTCTACTTAAAAAAAAAAAAAAATTACAAAAATTAGCCGGGCATGGTGGCGCACGCCTGTAGTCTCAGCTACTTGGGAGGCTGAGGTGTGAGAACTGCTTGAACCCGGGAGGGGGAGGTTGCAATGAGCTGAAACTGTGCCACTGCACTCTAGCTTGGGCAACAGAGCAAGACCCTGTCTTGAAGTAAAAAACAAAACCACTTAAGGTTCCCTTTATCATAAATATTGGAAATCTATTCAGTTTTATAAAATATTTATACAAATAATTTATATTTATCTCTGTTTAACTGGTACTACTTTTCAGTCTTTTTAATATTTTTTTTTCTTTTTTTTTTTGAGATGGAGTCTCGCTCTGTCACCCAGGCTGGAGTGCAGTGGTGCAATCTCGGCTCACTGCAACCTTTGCCTCCCGGATTCGAGCAATTCTCCTGCCTCAGCCTCCCGAGTAGCTGGGATTACAGGCATGTGCCACCATGACTGGCTAAATTTTTTGTATTTTTAGTAGAGACGGGGTTTCACCATATTGGCCAGGCTGGTCTCCAACTGTTGACCTTGTGATCCACCCACCTCAACCTTCCAAAGTGCTGGGATTACAGGCGTGAGCCACTGTGCCCGGCCAAGGACTGCTGCTCAGTCTTTTTAAAGTGATTTTTTTTTTTTTTTTTTTTTGTGACGGAGTCTTGCTCTTGTTGCCCAGGCTGGAGTGCAGTGGCACGATCTTGGCTCACTGCAATTTCTACCTCCTGGGTTCAAGCTTCCTCTGCTTCAGCGTCCTGAGTAGCTGGGATTACAGGCACCTGCCACCATGCCCAGCTAATTTTTCATACTTTTAGTACAGAGGGGTTTTGCAGGTTGGCCAGGCTGGTCTCAAACTCCTGACTGCAGATTACTCCTGGCGGGTAATCTGCCCGCCTCGGCCTCCCAAAGTGCTGGGATTATAGGCTTGAGCCAATGTGCCTGGCCTTAAAGTGATTTTTTTATTCCTTTTTATCTTGGTAGTTGAACCTATTTTTGAACTTTATTTTGGAAAATTTTAAACATCTATAAAAGTAGAATAGTATAATGAGCCCCCAAATTCCCATCAACCAGTTTCAACACTTAATTTATGTTTTACCTAGTTTTATTTATAGATGACTGACTGTAACTCCTGCCCCTGCTCTCCAGTCCTGGATTATTTTGAAGCAAATCCCAGATGTTGTCATATCATCATCTTTTTTTTTTTTTTTTTTGAGACAGAGTCGCACTCTGTTGCCCAGGCTGGAGTGCAGTGGTGCAATCTTGGCACACTGCAACCTGCACCTCCCAGGTTCAAGTGATTCTCGTGCCTCAGCCTCCCCAGTAGCTGGGATTACAGGTGTGTGCCACCATGCCTGGCTAATTTTTGTATTTTTAGTAGAGATGGTGTTTCACCATTTTGGCCAGGCTGCTCTCAAACACCTGACCTCAAGTGATCTGCCCGCCTCTACCTCCCAAAGTGCTGGGATTACAGGTATGAGCCACACCGTTCCAGGCCCCAGATGTCATATCATTCTTAAATACTTCCATATGTGTCTCCAAAAGGTAGATTTTCTTTTTAAAAAATATAACATTCTCACACCTAAAAAGTTAACCAAAAATTTTAATTTTTTTTTTTTTTAGTTGAAGTTGTACTTTGTTGCCCAGGCTGGAGTGCAGTGGTGTGATCTCAGCTCACTGCAACCTCTGCCTCCTGGGTTCAAGCGAGTCTCCTGCCTCAACCTCCCCAGTAGCTGGGATTACAGGTGTGCACCACCATGCCCAGCTAATTTTTGTATTTTTAGTAGAGACAGGGTTTCACCATGTTGGTCAGGCTGGTTTCAAACTCCTGACCCCAAGCAATCCACCCGCCTAGGCCTCCCAAAGTGCTGGGATTACAGGCATGAGCCACTGTCCCTGGTCAAAAAAATTTTAATGTTATTAAATATCCAGTCAGTGCTCAAAGTTTTTCAGTTATATCAAATTAAAAAAAAAACAGTAGATTCGTTTGAATCAGTGAAGTTCATACATTGCAATTGGTTGATATTTGCTGTCTTTTTCCCCCATGCTGTTGATTTTTTGAAGAAGTAGATTATTTGTTCTATATGATTTCTGTTGCATCCTTAAGATTTAATGTATTCCTCTGTCCCCTTTATTTCCTACATGTTGGTAGTTGGATTAAATGACTTGATGAGATTCAAGTTCACTTTCTTGGCAAGAATATTTTAAAAGTGGTGATAGGTACTTCAATCAGGAGGTACATTATGTCTGATTATCTGTCTTTCATCTGTTCATTAATTAGAGGTTATAAAATGGTGATATTTTATTTCTATCACTTCTTCTTCATACTAGCTGGGATACTTGTAAAAAGAAACCTTGTCCATATCAACCATTTGGTTGCTCTGAGATACAGTTCATATAGGAAAGCCAGGGTAAACGCTTGATTTTATTAATTTTTTAAACATTTTCCAAAGGTAACTAATTTTTGAGAGAGGGCAGTGTCACTTTAAATGGATGTATTTAAACTTACTTGCTATACTTCAATCTGCTATAGTT